GTCTCACTGTCCCCACTGTCCCCACCATTGCCCCACCACGGTCCCACTCTCCCCATTGTCCCCACTGTCCCCACAACTGTCCCATTGTCCCCACTGTTCCCACCACTGTCCCAGTGTCCCCACTGTCCCCGCCGCTGTCACACCGTGCTGTCCCACTGTCCCCACTGTCCCCACCACTGTCCCACTGTCCCCACTGTCCCCACCACTCCCCACTGTACCACTGTCCCACCACCGTCCTCCCACTTTCCCCGCTGTCCCCACCAATGTCCCGCTGTCCCCTCACCACTGTCCCCACCACCACTGTCCCAGTCCCCGCCACTGTCCCACTGTTCCCATACCACTGTCCCCATCACTGTCCCAATGTCCCCACCACTGTCCCACTGTCCCGAGGAGCGAGAATCGTGTGCCGGCGGCGAGGGGAGGGGGGTTCGAACAGGTAGTGACCCCCCCCTTTTTCATGATGGACGGGGAGAGGGGGGGGAGGGGGGGTTTCGAACCGGTAGTGACCCCCCCTGGTTCTCGAAGGGGGGGAGACGGGTTGGGAATCCCCCAGTGACCCCCCCAGTTTTCCGCCAGCAGCGGTAGAACCCGCTCTTTCTAATACATAAAGATAACTCCTTTGAGCCTCCTGGGAGCGGAAGGGCCGAAAAGCGCTCCCGAACACATACCCCGATACAGAATGTCTCCTGGGGCCTTCTGGGGCCCTGTTGGGGCGGGAGGGGCGGAAAAAGCCTCCCGAGCAGATATCTCTGGAGCGTCCTGGGGCTTACTGGGCCTCCGCAAGTAACAGCAAGACTGCTCTGACGGATTCCCCTTGCTGCTGAATTGCGGGGAGTCTCAAGCGAAACGGCCGTTCCGGCACCCGCGAGTAGCAGCAAGAATACTCTGAAGGACCCCACTGTGGTGCTGAGGTACAAAAGTCTCAGGCGAACAATCTCCACAAGTGACGGCAAGACTGCTCTGACGGATCACCGCAAGCGCCTTCTCGGAACGAGACAGTGATGGGAGCTTGTCAGAGGAAGCTGGGTAAGGAGTAAATGCAGAACTAGGACGCGGGGGACAACGGGCTCGGGATCGCAAAGATTCATCAGCCGACGGGTTCCTGCCACAGTTGGTGTTTCGCTTGAGACATCCTCGAAAACATGGGATGTCGAAAGAAGTGGTTTTAAGACGTCGTCTGGTCAAAATGAGGATCTCGTTCGAGACATCCTCGGAAAATTGAAATATTGAGATGGGTCGCGAAGTCGCTCGAACATTCAGAATTGGGCATGTCGCTTGAAATATCCTCCAAAAATGAAATGTTGAACGATTTGTTTCGAGACGCCTTCAATAAAAATGAGGCTCCCGCTCGAGACATCCTCGAAACATAGCGCGGCAGCGGAATCTACGATCCGCCCCTGAAACTGACTCTTCGCTCGATTGATCCTCAAATAATGAACAGTTCGAAGAGTTGTTTTGAGACGTCGAAGCTCGAAACTAACGATTTCGCTCGAGACCTTCTCGGAACATCGAGATGCCGAGTGCGCTCTATTGTTTGTTTCGCCTTGGATTCGCTCCTGAAGAGCTTCAAAAGTGCCGAAGACGGATCCAAACAGCGCCCCAAGAACACCCCAATACGCCCATCATCATTTTCATCACTATCCCAATCATGACCATGCTCATCACCACCAACACGATCATCATCACCATCACCGGAATCACTGTCGTCATCGTCTTCGTCATCGTCATCGTCACCATTAGCAAGGTAGTCACGAAACAGCGAGGAAGGACGGTCGTGGAAACAAAATGGGGGACAGTCGTGAAACCTTGAGGGGGGCTGAGTCGTGGAACCAGAAGGTGGGGGCAGTCATAAAACCATAAGAGAGGAAGGGGGGGGGGTGGGTGGGGGTGGGGGGGGGGGGGGGGCGAATCGTGAAACGACAAGGTGGACAAATGAGAAAACAGAAAAGGGGGGCAACTGTGAAACCATGAGGGGGGCAAGCCGTGAAACGGCAGAGGTGCCGCAGCAGACGCACCCACGTTACAATTGCCGCTTACCCGTCGGCCAGAAGAAGTAGGTGGAACCATGAAATAGGAAGGCGTTGAAGTACATTGGGTTTTCACCCGCCCCCTGGTGAGGAAGGGAATGAAACAAGCACTCGACGATTGAAGTAGGAAGGCGCCTAGAGTAAATCGGGATGTGGCAATCGAGAAAATATATACCTTCATCCACCTGCGTGCACACCACAGAATGACAGCAAGCGTGCCCGCTTTTCAATTGTCACCGATAGCAAACGCACCCGGATTTTTCAACGACAGAAGGGCCACAGCAAACAACCAGTAGTTCAAAAGCCACCAGCAGCGACGTCACAGGATGATAGCAGACGTACCCAAAACCATAGGGGGGTGGCAGTGGAACCATGAGGGCCGGAGCAAATGTACCCACATCCCAGTTGCCAGCAGCAGCTACACGACAGGATGGAGCAAGCTTACCAACATTTTAACTGTCACTGGCAGCTTGCCGCAGCAAGCCTGACCATACTTCATCTGCCACCAGCGTACCCACTCTTCAACTGCCACTGGCAACAGACGCACCCGCAGCTGAACGGCAGAACGGGGGTGGCATTTGAATTGCTTGCGGGGGTTATTCCCGACGAGCTGGAGCATGAACAACAGGCCCTCGAAAGGCTCCCAGTAGGCCCTTCCCAACAGGCCTTCGCCCTTCGAAAGGCTCAACAAGCTCATCGACCATGTTGGTCTCTTCGGGCCCTGCCAGGGGTCCTCTTGGAGTCTTCTCGGGCCGTGTCGTGGCGAATGAAATGGGGTGCGTGTGCCAGCATCCTGTGTGGGCCGCACATACGCACACACACACATACACAAGCCACGCACTACAGCTGACCCAATCAACCACAAGCAACCACGAAGCCAAAGCTAGAAGCGGCAACCATGAACGTCGAGAGAATCCAAGCGACTGCACCCCATGCGGGCACATCCGTGCGCGGGTGCGCAAGCAAGCTCAGAGAAGCAGTACTTCCCGTTTTTGTCCAAAGAGGTTCCCCTGTGGCTATCGCTCGAGATTTCCTCGCGGCGCATGCAGAACGCGCGCTTCAACTTCCCGCCTACTCGACCTGGCCGCCTCCTGGGCCCGCCTTCCCGACCCGCCCGCCAGGGTCTGCCCCAGCGATCTGCCCGTCTGGTTCTGCCACGTGTTTGTTGCTCCTAGCCCCCTGCTGAGAATTCCGTGCTCCATTCGTCTCCCTCCCCCTCCATGCATCCCCTCTTGCTCTGCATCAAGAGCTGCACCAAGTACACGCGGCAGGTAAGGAAGAAATATCCCCAAGGGGGTACGATCGAAGACGAAGAGGGCGGGTATCGAGGGTTTGGGGTAGAATGGCACGCGACCAGATAAGAGCGAACAGTCTGAGAATTACTGTTGATGTTGTTGTTGTTGCTGCTGTTGGTGTTGGTGGTGTTGGTGGTAATGGTGTTGCTTTTGTTGCAGATGTTGATGTTGTTGGTGGGGATGGTGTTGGCGTTGTTGGTGCTGGTGATGTGTTTGTTGTAGTTGGGGGGCGGCGTTGAACGCAAACCAGAAACGTTCGAGCACGAGCCTCAATGTCAAAGGGAAAACAGCCGGCGCCGGGGCGAAAGCGCCAGAGCGCCTGAATGGGGTCCGACCAGAAAGTTGCGGATTAGCTCTAACATCCAATCATGTTAAGCTCGTTCGTTTCCGGATGGTCGTATGTTATTCAACATGGATCCCACAAAAGCCCTCGATACCCGCCCTGTTCGTTTTTGTTTGTACCCCTTTTGGGGGTATACCTTCCTTGCCTGCCACGTGCAATTGGCGCAGCGCTCAAAACTGGAAGAACAGAAATAATGGAAAAGGAAGAGAGCGAGGAGGAAGGGAGTGGAGGAATGGAGGGAGGAGAGAAGGGGCAAAAGGGAGGGAGGGACAAGACGGAGGACGAGAAGGATGCGCAAAAGAGAGTAGCACGAGGAGATGGCAAGGACGCCTCAGGCGAAAGCGCGGCCCCTGAGCAAATGATACTGGAGTCCCGAGCGAGAGCGTGATTCCAGAGCGCCGAGAGAGCGATGCGTGAATAAGTTGTAAGGAAAGCTTAAGCGAGAGCGCGATTCCTCGATATAAGCTGCAAGGGAAATCCAGAGCGAGAGCCAAATGTCTCAACACACTGTGTGGAAGTATCCCGCGGGAGCCGCTGTTGTGCTAAACTGAGGGCCAAAGACACAGTCTGAGGCGCAAGACTGTTCCTTGTAATAAAACCAGGCGCGAGCCCAAGGGGCCCGTCGAGTGCAAAACATACGCAAAGGCACCAGAGGGGGGAAATCAACAATAATTATTCGGTAGGAGTGTGAACTCAGCAACTACGATGTGAAGACTGTCCTTGCTTATCTGCTCGCGTGTTGTTCAACATGTATACCTCGAACCCTGGATACCCGCCCCGCTCGTCTTCGATCGTACCCCCCTTAGGTATATATATATATATACATATATATATATATCGTTCTTACCTGCCACGTCTAGCTGGCGCAGCCCTTCGAACACGGAAAGGGAGGGAGGAGGAAAGCGACAATGGGGAAGCACATGGATGGGCCAGAAAGGCTCGTAAGCCGGGATCCTGGACCCTTGAAATTCCTCCTCCTCCTCCTCCTCCTCATCCTCATCCTCATCCTCCTCCTCCTGCGCTAGTACCGATCGAAAAGTCTGCATCCTCCACAACTGCTACTGCTGCCACTTCTGAGACTGCTGATACTGCTGCTCGAACCCGAACTGCTCACGCTGCGTCTGCCCCGACTCTGGGGAACCGCGATGGGCACGACCTCCTCCTCCTCCTCCTCCTCCTCCTCCTCCTCCTCGATCCTCGAGGGTGCCCTCTCCTCGATCGACCTCCTCATCCTCCTCTCCTCCTCGACCTCTTCCTCCTCCTCCTCCTCCTCCTCTTCCTCCTCCTCCTCTTCCTCCTCTTCCCCCTCGATCCTCCTCGGTCCTCGAGGGTGGCCTCTCCGCGTCGCCGTGCCCCCTCCCCTGAGCTCGGCGCGGGGCACCCTAGAGGGGACGCATGTCCAGCCCCCCCCCTCTCGGGAAGCGACGGCTCAGCTGCAGCCGCTGCCGACGAGGCGGCTCAGCTCGGCCAGCATCCGCAGGGTCAGCGGGCCCTCCTGCGCTGCACGACTGCCCGGACCTCCCCCGGCGCCCTGAAGGAAACGCGGCGGCCAGTCGTTCCGAGCCTCGCCCACAGTAGGCCAACCCCGGGGGCCCGGAGGGCCCACAGGAGCAGGAACAAGGAGAGGCAACGCCACCACCACCACCAGCGCGAGAAGCCTCGGGGGGGAGGGTTCAGCTTTTCTCGGCTACATAGAAGAGGCGAAGTGTGTCAATCTATATGTTCTTGGTGGCGTTATGAGTGGTGTCGGTGCTCGCCTGGCTGCAGGGGAAGGCTCTTCTTCTCGAGTTCTGCGTGCATGGGAGGCCTCGGGCATCGAGATGACCATGTTGGAGCGCCATGCGGGGCCTGGCCTGAGGCGGCATGGATGTAGCACGCAGGCCAGGGATGTGCTCCGGCTGTACGAGGACGTGAGTTTGGTTCAGACTCCGACGGTGGTGATCATTTCGTTCATTTGCCCGCCAACGTCGTGTCGGGAATATACAATCACGGACCTGACGAACCGTTTCACGATCTTCAGGGTGGGCCCGACCTGGTTGCGAAGGTCAGTACGGGCGGCCCGATTGATCCTGTTCAGTTCGTGGGCAGGGACGTAGTCAGTTTGTGCACTGTACTGGCGCTCAGTGGGTGGGAGATTCTGTTTCACGGCGGAGTGGGACGGGTCGTTAGCCCACGTATGCGAAGTCAGTGTCCTTGTTAACGTGCGCTCGATGGAGATCCCAGCGCCTGTTGCGTTTCAGTTTACCTTCGCTGGTGGGTTGGGCTGCAGCTGTCATGCGGCTATCTCGCTGGTTCAATCTGGCCGATGGTGGCAGATTGGTACTACGGGAAATTGTTCAAATGGAGTGCATCCTTTGCTGATGTGCAGGTGAGTTCATGATTTGCTGGTAGAACTGACCTTTGAGAAATTCGACGGTCTATATCTGTGCTTCTTCGGTACTCACTGGAATTCCTGACAAGCATGGTGGCATGTTCTACGCAGCAGATATCGCAACGAGGCTGTGTGCGGGGGTGGCCATCTCGTTTTGAAACTGTTTCGCTGGGCTTTACAGTATTTGGGGTTGTCCGATGAACAGCGGCTTCGGCACTGTATGAGCCGCATCGAATCGCCGTCGTTTTGACTTAGCTGTGCTTCGATCTGCTACAGGCGGGGTATTCAGTCGCGGTATATGCCTACGTGGTGCCTCGAGTGCCTCGAGCTCACCTTTTACCTGTGCTTCGTCTTCGGGTTCGTCTTCCCAGTGGGCAAGCACAAAGGGTGGCTTGCGTATGGTTGTGAGATCACTTCGTGATTGGGCATTATCACTCTCATCGCGTTCTCCCCGATCCCCAGCCCGGGAGGAAGTGAACCTCCTCGCTGCAGGCGGCACTCATGGTGGTGGTGTCGCCTTCCTCTATCCTCTGCAAAAGAGGACGCGCGGCGCGGAATCCATGCAGGACAGTGGGGTCGGGAGCTCCCGCAAACCACAGATCCGCACGGATTGAAAGCCTGAGGACGCCGGGGGCCGTGGGCGACGCCGACGAAGTCGACAACGAGGACGGTGACGACGACGACGGCAACGCCGATGGCGACGACAACAGCGACGAGGACGGCGGCAGCGACGCAGACACCGACGCCGATGCCAACGATTTGCGATGACAGGGAGGGAGGAGGACCAAAATTAACCCAAAATGCATCAACGATGCTGCAACACGCCCACCCGTCCCGAGCCCCTCCTCATAAGCCCCTGCAAGGGCTCATCTCTGCACTGCGCGGGAAGTGCGCCCTTGAAAGATGAACGTCCTTACGGTCTTGAAGTTCAGGCGACGGGCGCCCCGTTTTGAAAATCGTCTGCCGACCGTGCTTCCAATTATACAGCCAACCCGTATCACAAGGACGCACGACCAGAACGCAAGGGCCTTGAAGGCCACGTCGACACTTTGCGGGCGCGGCGCGGCCAGCGGAAGCAGCCAAGGATGGGCCGACGGGGAAGGATGCAAGGGGTAACCTTGGAAAGTCGCTCATGCGGGCTGGCCGCAATGAGGACGACGAGGTGATCAGGATCACATGAAGTCCAAAGGCGTGTCCCGCGACAGCCCCGCCTTGACAAAGAGACGCCCTAAGCATGTGCAGTCTTCATATACACATATATACACACAAACGCTTGGGCCTAAAATTGAAGGAGGTATGAGAGGACATTCCCGGTGCAACTAGCACGCAAACTGGCGAATGGCAAAGCACGGCAACAAACAAAACAAGGACCGAACACATGCACACGAGTTTTAGATATGCAACAAAGAAAAAACCGTAAACAAAACAACAAAACGGACGGAACAAGAATGTACCGAACGAAAACATCAACTTGAGCACGGAAAGCTCACATCCGCGAAGTCGATGGAGGGCGTGAGTCCGAATTCGTGCAGCGCGAACGCGAAGACCACACGTTCAAAATGACCCCCCCGCCCGTGTAACTGAAGGAACGTTTCGAAACGTAAGCGCGCGGCTCAAAGGCGAGAATCACATTTGGGAAAGGATCCGCCCTCCGTCCGCGCAACTGTCGAAAGCGTTTGAGACGAATGCACTCGGCGCGAAAGTGCGAACGCCACGCGTTGATGTCCCCCCAAACCATCCGTACAACAAGTGGAAATTGTTAAACACGATTGCGCGTGGCGTTGGGGAAGGACCAAAAATGCCCCCCCCTCTCCATCCGAGTGATTATGTCGGGCTTCGGGGTAATAAGCGACTAGAGGGGGGCCGCAAGCGAAACGGCAAGCACGTCCTACCAACACTTCTCGTGGTCAGACGACGAGGCGTTAGGGAGTGAGGAGGAGGATAAGGACCAATGTATACCCAAAACGTATCAACGATGTTGCAATAAGCCTTCCCTGCAAGTTCCCCTTTTCATAAGTCCTCACCAGAAACTGCTGTCATTGCGGGGGGTGCGCCATTGGAAAACAACCGTTTGAGAATTCGCGCACATGCCATCACACCATCCCTCTGATTCCATCGCCGTGAATCAGTGATACAACTGCGCCCTAACAATCCTAAGCCACCCTAAAAAGCCATTAGTTTGCAACGCGCCAAAACAATCATACGCACCCTTGACATCGACGCAAAACTTTGAGACGAGCGTGCGCCTCGCTGAGGCGAGAGCCACAATTTCAACGACCAGCTGCCCCTCCGCGAAGCGGTCGTCAACGTTTAGAACTGCACGTGAAGAAGTTTCGAACTTGAAACTGCGCGCGGAGAAGAATCAAGAGCCACAGGTTGACAGAAGCTCGCCCTCCTTCCTTGAAGCGGCTGCAAACTTTAAAGCGAATGCGAACGGCGCTAGCGCGACAGCCACATAATGAAAACGGCCCGCCCTCCATCCTAGAAACTACGACACGCATTTAGAAGGAATACACGCGGCGCTAAAAACAAGAGCCACACGTTGAAAATGGCCCGCCCTCTATCCTTGAACCTGTTGCAATTCTGCCCTTTAGGATCGTGAAGGGCGAGGATGTCTGGCGAAGAAATTTCGGGCGAAATGACCGGCCCGCTCTGCGGACACGTCCGTGCGCAACGGGGAGGAGTTCCCGTGCATGAAAAGAAACGGAGGAGAAATGGGGCGGCGACGACGTGGCGACGAGGACGACGTCGACGGCGACGACGACAAGCACGACCATGACGATGACGACGCATCCGCGGCAACAACGACGGCCACCGGAGGTAAGAAAGAGAGAAATACGCGAAGCGGAGGCCACAGCGCAGTAGATCCACGGGCACGGAGAGAAGGAGGTGCAGAGGGAGGAGAATCGGATAGGGTCGGATTCTTGGAACTCGGGGCCGTCGCATCGAAGCCATCTGAAATGCTGCTTCTGAGCTGGACGGGGCCGCGCCGCCCTGAAAGACGCAATCCGTGCTCCGGCTCTCGGCGGGTGGAGGGGGGGGAGGCCAGGAAGGATGGCGCACGACTTGGACGGCGGGCGGGCTGCGAGGGTTCGTCCCGACAGCTCTCGAAAATCCACCAAGGCCGCAGCATCCCGCATGTGTGTCCGTCGTCGCCAGCCTCCCCTCCTCGCCTCCTCTGCCACGACTGCAGCGACGCGTCCTCGTCCACGCGCACGCCCAATCCACTCCGGTGGACGTGGAGGCGCAGAGGACGCGGCCGTGTGCACGCCCACTGGGCGCCCCCGTCCATCCGTCGGCCGCAGGCCCCTGCCGCGGTGGACGACGCCCCACTGCGACACGGGAGCCGACGGCCTCTGGAGCCCAGCAGAGCTGGGACGCCCCAGCTCGCCCTCTTCGATCGGAAGCTCGGCATGCGCCAGAAGAGGTTATCGGGTGGCTCGCCGTGGTCCTCGAAGATGCACGTCTTGTGGAGAAGGGCAACTGCCAGCTCGGCGCGCCTCTTGTCTTTCTCGTTGAAGATGCCCGCGTACTCGACCGCCTTGAGGCCCCAGCCCTTGTCAACCATCTCGGCGCCCACTCCGGGACAGCCCGGGGCCTTCACCCCCGCATCCGCGCCAGAATCCCACGGCCCGAGCGGGGCCCCCCGCCGTCGGCAAGTGGCCGCCTCTCGCCGGGCGGCGCCGCTCGCTCCGCGGGGGGGGGGGGCCTCGGAAGGGGGCGGCCCCTCCCGCGCGGGGCGCCCCCGCCCGCGGCCGAGGAGAGAGGACGAGGCCGCCGCGGGGCGCGGAGCGCCTCCGAGGCGGGCGCCCGCCTCGGCGAGGAGGGCCGCCCCCACCGCCCCGTCGCCTCTGCGCAGGCCGCGGGGCGCGGAGCCCGCGCGGCTGACCGGCGAGCCCTTCGGTCGGGGGCGTCCCGCCCCGCGCCGCCCACGCGGCGGCCGTCGAGAGGCCCCTGCGCTGCGGTGCCCTGCGAGAGAGAGGGGGAGGGAGAGGGGCACCTGCCCTTCCGAGGACGGCGAAGAGGCCCTCCAGGGCCCCCACGAGAGAGAGGGCGAGGGGCAGCTGCCTCTCCGAGGACGGCGAAGAGGCCCTCCAGGGCCCCCACTCCTCCGCGGCCCCATCGCCCCCCAGGCCCGCACCTTCCGCGGCCCAGAGATGGGACCGTGAGGGATGGGGTCCCATGAGGACAGGTGGCCCTGGACAGTGCAGGTTCAGCTTGGGACACCTGTCCTGTGTGTCGGGCCCGCTCCCTCAGGGCCCCATTTTTCTCTTTGTTTTTGCCGGGTGTCGCACTCTTCTTCGCAGACGGCGGTCTCGCCCCGTTCCGGGCCCCTGGGCCTTTACGACTCGGCCCGACCCCAGAGATGCTGCAGGAAGATAGGGCCGAGGGATCTGGCAAAGATTTCAGCACAAGGAAAACATGCAGAAACATGCACTTATCGAGGCTCCGCGCGGACTTCTTGGATCGGCGCTGGGCCCCCCCACCGAGGCGCACGGAACGGGCTGGGGGCTCCAGCGCAGACCCAACAAGTCCCCTGAGGCCGAAAATTGCCAGAAAGCTTCCGTCGCGATTAGTTCACGACGCAAGCATGTCTGCTACGGCGACGATGACGTGAGGAACGACGCGCGTCGCGACGTCGGATTGCGAGCCGATCTGCCCCCCCCCCCGGGGGGCGCTCTCGACTCGAGACCACAGACATCCGACGGCCTCTTTTGTCCAACGAGCATTCCCAGGAGATCCCGACCCTTTCCCCAGGGCCAGCTTGTCGCCCCGGACCCATTTTCGATGGCCCTGGGACCCGACGGCGAGCCCCAGATGCCGACATCGAGACTCAGCGCCTGGATTGAAAGGGACATGCCGTCGGCTCGGCTGCACGCACGACTGCCCCTGGGCACGAGCGAGCTCTGACCCCGCGGCCTGCCGATCGCTGCGCCCGCTGCGATGGAAGCGGCCTGCGTGCTTGGGGTTGGCGCCCCGCACCCCCCCGAAAGCCTCCTCCTCCTCCTCCTCCTCCTCCTCCTCCTCCTCCTCTTCTTCTGTTTCTGCTTCTGCTTCTGCTTCTGCTTCTGCTTATGCTTCTGCTTCTGCTTCTGCTTCTGTTTATGATTCTGCTTATGCTTCTGCTTCTGCTTCTGCGTCTGCGTCTGCTTCTGCTTCTGCTTATGGTTTCTGCTTATGCTTATGTTTCTGCTTCTGCTTATGCTTATGATGTTGTTTTTGCTTATGCTTATGCTTATGGTTATGCTTATGTTTCTGCTTATGCTTCTTCTTATTATTATTATTAGTGTTATTGTTCTTCTTAGTATCATTATTATTCGTATTATTAGTAGCATTCATCTTCTTATGATTAGTATTATTATTATTATTATTATTATTATTATGATTCGTCTTATTATGTTTCTTCTTCTGCTTATTCTTATTATTATTCCTCCTCCTCCTCCTCCTCCTTCTCCTCCTCCTCCGCCTCCGCCTCCGCCTCCGCCTCCGCCTACGCCTCCGCCTCCGCCTCCGCCTCCGCCTCCGCCTCCGCCTCCGCCGCCGCCTCCTCCTCCTCCTCCTCCTCCTCCTCCTCCGCCTCCGCCTCCGCCTCCTCCTCCTCCTCCCTCTCCTCTCCTTCCTCCTCCTCCTCCTCCCTCCTCCTCCTCCTCCTCCTCCTCCTCCTCCCTCCTCCTCCTCCTCCTCCTCCTCCTCCTCCTCCTTCCTCCTCCTCCTCCTCCTCCTCCTCCTCCTCGTCCTCCTCCTCCTCCTCCTCCTCCTCCTCCTCCTCCTCCTCCTCCTCCTCCTCCTCCTCCTCCTCCTCCGCGCACCAATGGTCACTGCACGGAGGGTCACTGGCACGTGTGGCCGATCGGCGACTCGGGGGCACGCCGACCCCCGCGGCGGGCGCCCTCGGCCTCGGGGCCCGCCGCCCGCGGCAGCCCGTCGCCTGGCGACCGGCTTCTCGTGCCGAGTCGCTCCTTGGCGGCCCCGAGGGCCCGGCGAGGGCCCCCAGAGGGAAACGACGAAGGGGTTTCCGTCGTGACGTTTGTCGCGACGCGAGGAGGCGTCAAAATCCGCTCGAATGGGTCCCCAGACTCGAGCTGTGCGTGCGCCCAGCCGTGGTGACGAGGAGGGCCCCCGAAAGCCACCAAGCCTCGAAGTCCGATCCTCGACGTCCGTCGGCTACACGTCAGAATGACCCAGAGCAAGAATGGCCTTTGGTGCGCGGTTTTCGGGGACCACGATGGGGCCAAACCCAAGCGTGTTGGCCGATGCTGGGGGACCCCTGTGAGCCCGCACAAAAGGTCACTCCGGCGAAGGCGCACTCTTACGTGCAGTCGAATTCGAATCGGGGGCGACGATGGCGGCGAATAGTTCAACGGAAAGCAACACATGTATCCAGAGTCGCCGATGGTCCATGTCTTCGGTGAGGTTCCCAAGCGCGCCGGGGGCGGCGCCGGAGGCGCCGCTGGGGGGCCCGTGCGCCGATCAGACCAATCCGCGCGGGATCACCAAAAGTTTCTGTTTGTGGCGCTATCTCTTCTCCGATGTCATATGCCCGCCCCTGGGCTGCTCGCCCCCCTCGCCGCCTCCGAACCTCGACCCTCGGGATCGGGTCCCCCCCCTCGCCCCCGGGCGGGCGCTCCCAGCCTCGGGGCCCCCCGCCAGCGGCAGCCCGCCGCCCGGCAGCGCGAAGGCCGGAAGCTCGTCGTCGCCGCGGGCGTACGGGCGGACTCGGCGCAGCGGCGGCGCGGGGGCTGCCTGCGCCGAGGCTGCGCCGCCGGAGGGCGGCGCGGAGGCCTCGCGCTCGGGGGGTGGGAGGGTGGCGAGGACGACGACGGTGGTGACGACAGGGATGGTGACGATGGCGATAACGACAGCGACAGCGACGGCGCTGACGATGACGATGACGATGGCGATGACGACGTACATGCCGATGGTGGTGATGATGATGATGATGATGATGATGATGATGATGGCGGTGGTGGTGGTGAGATGATGATGGTGCTGTTGGTGATGATTATGATGATGATGGTGATGATGATGATGTTGGTCATGGTAGTGACGATGACGATGACGATGGCGGTGATGATGAAGATGATGATGATGATGTAGATGATGGTGATTCTGGCGCTGACGATGACGATGACGCTGACGATCGTGATGGTTACGACGATGCGGATGGTGATGATGGTGCTGATGTCGATGATGATGTTGGTGATGAGGCCACGAATGATGATGATGATGAGCGCGATGATGCGGTTGATGATCATGATGGTGGCGGCGGGAAGGATGACGATGGTGTTGGCTGATGACGACGATGATGAAGTTGATGATGATGGTGGTGGCTGGGATGGTAATGGCGATGATGATGCTGATGACGATGGTGAAGACGATAGCAATAAAAGGTGGTGACGGTTGTAATGGTACTGGGAATGACACCGACATTATGATGATGCTGATGTTGGCAATCATAATCAGGGGCAGCAGCGTGGAATGGGGATTCCCCGCCGCAATGTCCCGGCGGAGAACCGCGGGTCACGCCCGGAGGCCGCGAGGAGGACATCCACCTCCATCCTCCTTGACGTCCACCACCTCATCCTCCTCAATCCTCCGCAACAAGCACCTGCTCGTGCACCTTCTCAAGCAGCACCACCCTGACATCCCCCTCCCCATCGTCCTCCTCCTCCTGACCATCCTGGTCCTCCTCCTCCTCCTCCTCTTCGTCCTGCTGCTCCTCCTCCTTCTCATCCTCCTCCTCGTCCTGTTGATATGCCTCCCCCTTCCCTTACCTCTTCCTCGTCCTCCTCCCCCTCCTCCTCCACCTGCTCCTGCGCCAGATCATGGACAAGACGCGGCAGGCTGCATGAATAAGACGGCGCGATGCACCCACATCCGCGGGCAACTTGCGCAAAGGTGAACGCGCAACCGATCCCCGCGGCCCCCCCCCCAACTTCAAACTAGGCGGTGCAACGGACCGCTTCTGTCAAACCCTCGTCTCCCCCCTCGGGGGCGGTTAACCCACCCATCCCGCTAGCAGACCGTGGAGGCCTTGGATAAGGAATCCCAGGTCTGGAGCCTTGTGGAGATCCACTTGCGTGGAACGGGACGGGGCAGAAGTTGTCCGCCCCCAACCAATGTGAGGTCTCTACCCTCCCTCCGTCTCCTCTCCGCCCCCCCTACTTCCTCATCCCTCCCGCCTCCCTCCTCCCCCCCCCTCCCTCCCACCCCTCCTCCGCCTCAGATCCTCTGGAGGAGGGCGGCAGGTGAGCGGTGCGGTTGCTGTTGCGCGCCCGCAGGCGGGTTGAAACGTGTCGCCCAATTGGGATTGCGGTTGCGCGCCCGCGGGCGGCCTCAAATGTGTCGCCAAGTAGCGGTTGCGCGCCCGCGAGCGGTTTGAAATGTGTCGCCCAGTTGCGGTTGCGGTTGCGCGCCCGCGGGTGGGTTGAAATGTGTCGCCCGGTTGCGGTTGCGGTTGCGCGCCCGCGGGCGGTTTGAAATGTGTCGCCCAGTTGCGGTTGCGGTTGTGCGCCCCGCGGGCGGGTTGAAATGTGTCGCCCAGTTGCGGTTGCAGTTGCGCGCCCACGGGCGGGTCGAAATGTATCGCCCAGTTGCGGTTGCGGTTGCGCGCCCGCGGGCGGTTTGAAACGTGTCGCCCAGTTGCGGTTGCGGTTGCGCGCCCGCGGGCGGTTTGACATGTGTCGCCCAGTTGCGGTTGCGGTCGCGCGCCCGCGGGCGGGTCGAAATGTGTCGCCCAGTTGCGGTTGCGGTTGCGCGCCCGCGGGCGGGTTGAAATGTGTCGCCCAGTTGCGGTTGCGCGCCCGCGGGAAGGTCGAAATATGGCGCCCAGGTGCGGTTGCGGTAGCGCGCCCGCGGGCGGGTTGAAACGTGTCGCCCAGTTGCGGTTGCTGTTGCACGCCCGCGGGCGGGTCGAAATGTGGCGCCCAGTTGCGGTTGCGGTTGCGCGCCCGCGGGCGGATTGAAATGTGTCGCCAAATTGCGCTTGCGCGCCCGCGGGCGGGTTGAAATGTGTCACTCAGGTGCGGTTGCGGTTGCGCACCCGCGGGCGGTTTGAAATGTGTCGCCCAGTTGCGGTTGCGGTTGCGCGCCCGCGGGTGGGTCGAAATGTGTCGCCCAGTTGCGGTTGCGGTTGCGCGCCCGCGAGCAGGTTGAAATGTGTCGCCCAGATGCGGTTGCGCGCCCGCGGGCGGTTTGAAACGTGTTGTTCAAGGTGCCCTCCTGACGTTCAGTCAGTCAATCAGTCAGTCAATCAGTGAGTCAATCAGTCAGTCAATCAGTCAGTCAGTCACCGGCGGGCACGGAATTTTCCCCGGCTCCGCCGGGAATGATGATGGTGATGGTGATGATGATGGTGATGGTGATGGTAATGGTGATGAAGCTGGTGCTGGTGCTGGTGCTGGTGATTATTGTGGTGATGGTGGTGATGATGATGATGACGACTATGAAGATAGTGATGATGACGACGACGACGATGGTAATGATAACGCGAATGATGATGATGATGATGATGATGATGATGATGATGATGATGGTGATGATGATGATGATGGTGATGATGAAGATGATGATGATGATGACAGCGACGACGATAGTGATGCTGATTTGTATCAGGACAGTCCCGGCTGTTGCCACACTTCCGCAACCAACTGATGGCGACGAGATTGGACCCTCAGCCTTGCTTCAAAGGCCTGTTCAGGGGTCCCAGGAAGATGGTTGCGTACACTTCTATGTGTGTGGAGGAAGGCATCACACAGGCACGCACACAGCAGACGGCGAATAGCACACAAGGGGTGGAGGAGGAGGAGGAGGAGGAGGAGGAGGAGAAGGAGGAGGGAGTTGAACCACGGGCGCTCAGGGGCTTCCTCAGGGAACCATGGGCCCATCCAGCGGAGGCACAGTTCTCGCAGCCCCAGACATTCACGACAGTAGTGCATGAATTGCATGCGGGGTTGGTCGGGTCACCTGACGCTGAGAAGCATGGAGTGGAGGGCATTCAAAACAGCACCTAGGCCTGGAGTGACCCCTGTATCTGGCAGGAGTACATACACCACGACAGCAGGCCCGAAGAACTCCAAAGCCAATGTATGGACAAACGATTTGCAAACCGATCGCGCTTGTGTTGTGTCACTGTCGAGGGTCGCACGTGTCAGATTGAGGTCCCATTTCTGAAGCCAAAGAAACACGCCATCCATCGGAGAGGTCCCAATCGGTGATCGCTGACGAAGGGCAGCCTATAATTTCGGTTGAGGTTTCTTCGCCGCGTCGGAGAGGGACGGGATAACTGGCATTGTCACAGTAACTGTCGAACAACGAGCAGAGGAAAAACGAGAGATACCAACTCGGACGATAGCCCAGACAACATCGAGCAATACACCTGCCATCTGAATCCAAGGCCTCCTCCATCTCTTTGCGAACCAACCAGCGCAAGACAATAGACAGCAAAACGCACCCGCGACGCAACAGAGAGGATATTCAATTCTTTCGCCTCAGGACAAATTGTAGAAGCGACACACAAACACACATCACCTGGAAAGTCGACAAAGTCAGAGCAGTCCCAAAACCCTTCGGTGGGAGCGTTCTGGAGCGGGAACAAAGTTCTGCCGGAGTTACGCCAACCAATATGTTCAGCCTCAGGGCCTATATAGATCCCAAGGTATCTAACAGATCGAACAAATCCAACCGCAGCCAGCCCGTTCGAGTATTCCGAAACACTGGCCCGAAGAAATGAAAATGATGCTGGTGGTGCTGATGATGATGATGATGATGATGATGATGATGATGATGATGATGATCATGATGATCATGATGATGATGATGATGATGATGATGATGATAATGATAATGATAATGATGATGATGATGATGATGATGATGATGATGATGATGATGATGATGATGATGATGATGATGATGATGATGATGATGATGATGCCGATGATGATGACGATGGTGATGGTGACAACGACGACGACGACCGCGAGGGTGATGGCGATGGTGATGGCAATGACGATGATGAATGCTCGGCGTCATCATGCCATGTATACACACATGTGTGTACGGGCGGAAGCTTCTGATTAGCGTGTCACGACGGCAGCCCCGTCGGCACGCGATGCGCTGCGGGCTGATAGCGTATCGTCACCCTCCGCGAGGCGGGGGCTGGGAAAGGGCCCAGACGTCGACGCTTGGGAACTGGGACGCGGTTCGCGCGACGCGCCGAAGCGTGGTGGGCCAGAGCCGACGGCGCGACAGGCTAGCAAAACGTCGCCGACCGTATGCACTTTTGCGTCGGCGGTAAAGCAAAACGGGGTGGGCTAGGCGACTTCAGCCACCATGCAGAGGAGGGAAGGCGAACGACAAGACGCCGGCCCAGAAGACCAGAAGAGAGAGACTAGGAGGAGACCGGCCCGCTCAGAGCAGAGCAGGGGTGTGGCGGGGACAGCGCCAGGGAGCCAGCGGCGGCGGCGGCCGGGGGGCTGGCGGTAGCAGGGCTGGTGATACGATGCAGCCGGTGGAGTGGAAGCCACCGTAGATACACAAGCGGTGCAGGCACAAACTCGTGCCTATCGTGTCTGGGCACAAAACTGCGAATCCGATACAGATCGCAGCAAGACTGTGGCGACCGCGGGCAGAATCGTGACCGAGGCCTGGGCTCCGCCCAGCCGGTGCCAGGCTTCGCTGCGTGTGGTTCTTCCCATCGGGAGCCGCGTCCAAGAGGGTTCCTCCTCCTCCTCATCCTCCTCCTCCTTATCATCATCAGCAGCATCGTCACCGTCATCATCATCATCATCATCATCATCATCATCATCATCATCATCATCATCATAATCATCATCATCATCATCATCATCATCATCATCATCATCATCATCATCATCATCATCATCATCATCATCATCATCATCATCATCATCATCATCATCATCATCATCATCATCATCATCATCATCATCATCATCATCATCATCATCATCATCATCATCATCATCATCGTCACCGTTAACGTTAACGTCAGCATCAGCATCATCATCAGCATCATCATCGTCATCATCCTTATTATCAGCAGCAGCATGATCGCCGTCATCAGCGTCAGAATTATCAGCATCATCATCTCCATTAGCATCATCGACATCAGCATCGTCATCGTCGCCGTCACCAACACCACTATCAGCATCGCAATCATCATCGCCCTTATCATCATAAGCAGAATCATCAGCACCATCATCAACATCATCATCATCGACGTCGTCGTCATCGCCATCATCATCATCATCATCATCAGCATCATCATCATCAGCATCATCATCAGCATCAGCAGCATCATCATCACCATTGTCAGCAGCAGCAGCAGCATCATCGTCATCATCATCGACATTAGAATAGTCATCGTCGCCGTCATCCGCACCACCATCATCATCATCAGCAGCAGTATCGCCCTTATCCTCGTAAGCACCATGATCAGCAGCAGCATCATCGTCATCATCATCGTCGTCATCGTCATCATCATCAGCACCATCATCACATCAGCATCATCATCGTCATCATCATAACACCCAGTATCATCATCATCACCATCATTAGCATCATCATCGTCGTTACCATCATCAGCATCATCGTCATCAGCATCACCGTCATCAGAATGATCATCACCACCACGACCACCACCATCATCATCAGCGACGTCGCCGCCAACATCATGATCACGTTCATCATAACCATCATCATCAACACCACCAGTAGCATCATCATCGTCATCGTCATCAGCATCATCAGCATCAGCATAGCCATCACGATCACCGTCACACATTCGTCCAGGCACAGACGCCACCCGTCGAGCGTGCGAAGGCTCGAGTATGTAAAGGTCTGGGTCATCCTTCCTCCGGAGGCCTCTGGAGGTCTCCAGAGAAAACACGGAGGCCTCCAGAGGAGGGCTCCAGAGGTACGTACCCTGAGGCACAAAATTATCCCAGTGCGACCCTACCTAGGAGTTGGAGCCCCTAGGAAAGCAGAATTAGTAGTAACAGTAAAGCTAAGCTAAGGCTAAGAAAAAGCTAAGCTAAAGCTAAGCTAAAGCTAAGCTAAAGCTAATCTAAAGCTAAGCTAAAGCTAAGCTAAGGCTAAGCTAAAGCTAAGCTGAAGCTAAGCTAAAGCTAAGCTAAAGCTAAGCTGAAACCAAGCTAAAGCTAAGCTAACACTAAGCTAACGCTAAGCTAGAGCTAAGCTAAAGCTAAGCTAGAGCTAAGCTGAAGCTAAGCTAAAGCTAAGCTGAAGCTAAGCTGAAACCAAGCTAAAGCTAAGTCAAAGCTAAGCTAGAGCTAAGCTAAAGCTAAGCTGAAGCTAAGCTGACGCTAAGCTAGAGCTAAGCTAAAGCTAAGCTGAAGCTAAGCTGAAGCTAAGCTAAAGCTAAGCTAACACTAAGCTAAAGCTAAGCTAAAGCTAAGCTAGAGCTAAGCTAAAGCTAAGCTAGAGCTAAGCGGAAGCTAAGCTAACGCTAAGCTAACGCTAAGCTAGAGCTAAGCTAAAGCTAAGCTATAGCTAAGCTGAAGCTAAGCTAAAGCTAAGCTAGAGCTAAGCTGAAGCTAAGCTGAAGCTAAGCTGAAGCTAAGCTAAAGCTAAGCTAGAGCTAAGCTGAAGCTAAGCTGAAGCTAAGCTGAAGCTAAGTGAAAGCTAAGCTGAAGCTAAGCTAAAGCTAAGCTAAAGCAAAGCTAAAGCTAAGCTAAAACTAAGCTAAAGCTAAGCTCAAGCTAAGCTAAAGCTAAGCTGAAGCTCAGCTAAGCTGGGTGAACCCAGGGGGCGCGACTGGGGGAACCGCGGGGCGGGGACTGGGGGAACCGCCCGGGGCGCTTTCCACTGCCCGGCCCCTTTAAGCTAGAGAGTAAGAACCCTTCTAGGCAGAGCCTAGGTAGGGAAAAAAACGAAAACCTCTATATATCCGTCTCCTCCTCCCCCCTCTTCCCTCCTCCTGCTCAACCTCGAATTTCTGCCCACACAATTGTTTTGCAGCCGAGTTGCTGCTGACTTGCACGGGCCCATGACTAGGGGGACAATGTGTGTCTCTACCACCACCTCCTCCTCCTCCTCCTCCTCTTCCTCCTCCTCCTCCTTCTCATCATCCTCATCACCATTCCTCCCCCTCCTTCCCCCTCCTCCCCCCTTCTCCCTCCTCCTCTTCCTCCTCCTTTTCCTCCTCCTCCACCTCCTCTTCCGCCTCCTCATCATCATTATCAATACCACTTCTATCACCATCATCATCAGCATCATCATCATCAGCATCAGCATCATCATCATCATCAGCATCATCATCATTATCATCATCATCATCATCATCATCAGCAGCATCATCATTATCATCATCCTACTCCTCATCAACACAACCATCATCAGCAGAAGCATTACCATCATCGACATCAGCATCAGCATCAGCATCAGCATCAGCTTCAGCTTCACCATTATCAGCATCAGCATCAGCATCAGCATCAACACTACCAGCGGCATCACGTGTCTTCAGCCGCATCATCTTCAAAACCACCGAAAGTATGGTCATCGACACCGCCAGTGTCATGACCATCAGCATCACCATCATCATCAAGATCATCATCAGCATCATCAGCATCATCAGCAACATCAGCATAATCATTATCGGAATCGTCATCATCATCAACATCATCACCACCGCCATCACCATCACCATCACCATCACCATCACCCCCACCACCAGCATCAACATCAGCATCATCAGCAGCAGCAGCGTCTTCGTCAAGCATCATCAGCAGCGGCATCATCATAATCAGAATCATCAGCATCACCACCAACAAAAGCATCATCATCATCATCATCATGATCCTCATCAACATCATCATCATCATCATCATCATCATCATCATCATCATCCAGCAGCAGCAGCAGCATCGTCATCAGCATCATCAGTATCAGCACAATCATCGACATCATCATCATCAGCAGCAGCATCACCACCACGACCATCATCATCCCCATCGAACATCATCATCGTATTCAGCATCGTCATTGTCAGCATCACCATCATCATCATACCTCCATCATCAGCAGCAGCATCATGATGATGATCATCATCCGCATCATCACCATCACCGCCTTAATGATCATCATCGACATCATCATCAGCAGCAGCAGCATCCTCATCATCATCAACATGAGTGCCATCATCGCCATCATCACCGCCATCATCATCATCATTATCGTCGTCATCTTTGTCGTCAGCACTCTCCCAACCCTGAAGACACGAACGGCCACACGTAACAGCTTCCCGTGCTCCCTTGAAGCGTCGCAACCCAAAATGATGGGCTGCCACGGTGGCGGGACTCATCCTCTTTGGCTGAATCTACCCTCGCGTTCCGCCTCCTCCCGCCTCCTGCCCCCCTTGTCCCCCCTCCCTCCCTGATCCTCCTCCCTGATCCTGCTCCTCGTCTTCCCTGCTTCCTCCCCAACCCTCGACGACGACGACGACGACGACGACGACGACGACGACGACGACGACGACGACGACGGCGATGGCGACGGCGACGGCGACGGCGACGAAGACGACGGCGACGGCGACGGCGACGACAACGGCGACGGCGACGACGACGACGACGACGACCCCCGACGGGTGCCTCTGCGCGCCCCGCACCGGCCAGGTGGCTACAC